TTGACCAGAATCGAACCCGGGACCCTTTGGTCCGCAGACCGATGATCTATCCACTGAGCCAAACTGGCTAAGGCCTTTCGGCAATTTTTTAATATAAAAACTAAACCCAGTTCTTGCAGCAAACATGAAGTCCCATTAATAAAACTTGCATGAACAGATTGATTTGCCCCTCCTTGTACGCAGTGTCCTTGTCTTCTGAGAAGTGGTGGGAGATTTATTGGGCTTGAAATGTGCTTAATTGGGACAGTGTTGAAATCTTCACCGAGGGGCGTTCAAGGCTGGGAAAGCTCGCTCTCCACGTGGATGAGGAGGGCTCCGGGAGGGAGCCCCTGTCTGCAGCGGCAGACCCGGGACACTCTCAAGTTGGGGCGCCCACGGAAAGGCAGGTCCCAGCCAGTCCCCACTGGAAGGGGTCCGGAGAGGGAGGGGCGCCTTGGCTGTGCAATGACCTGGTGTTGTGGAGCCGTGTGCACAGCTGCACGTGGGCAGAAGGCTCCCACCTCCAGCTGCCTGCAGGATTGCCTCCCCAGGCAACGACGCCAAACAGTTTACAGTCTGGGCATGCAGCTCACAGATGTGGGGCTGCCAAAACCCGAAACCTGCTGAGCCACAGCTGTCTTGGGGGAAAAAAAAAAGACGCACGGAATGCAATTCAGCTGCCAACTTGCGTTTTCTGCCTCATCGGCTGCCTGGGCAGGACTGGCTGCTTCCTTGCTCTGCCGGCCGCTCTGCCCACCTGGAGCCTCACCCCCGTCCTCGACTTGGTGCCACGGTTTCCTCTGCCCCACAGACAACCTGAGGCATGTGGGTCAGGTGATGGTCACAGCCCAGCCCCAGGGAGGCCAGTTCCCCCCATCAGAGTGTCCTGGTTTTATAGAACCTTCTAGAAGCCTGAGGGCCAGCTCATTTTCTGTGCTCACTGAGGAGTGAGGGGAAATCAATAATTTAGTTTCCAAGGGCTGTCATAACAAGTTGTCACAAACTGAGTTGCTTAAAACAGAAATTTATTCTCACAGCTCACGAAGCCAGAAGTACGAAATCAAGTTGTCAAGGAGGTCTGCACCCCTTCAGAAGGCTCTAGAGCAGTGATGGCGAACCTTTTGAGCTCGGCGTGTCAGCATTTTGAAAAACCCTAACTTAACTCTGGTGCCGTGTCACATATAGAAATTTTTTGGTATTTGCAACCATAGTAAAACAAAGACTTATATTTTTGATATTTTACATATTTAAATGCCATTTAACAAAGAAGAATCAACCAAAAAAATGATTTCGAGTGTCACCTCTGACACGAGTGTCATAGCTTCGCCATCACTGCTCTAGGGAAAACTCCTTTTTTTAAAAAAAATATATGTTTTTATTGATTTTTATTTTTTAAAAATATATTTTTATTGATTTCAGAGAGGAAGGGAGAGAGACAGAAACATCAGTGATGAGAGAGAATCACTGATTGGCTGCCTCCTGCACGCCCCACACTGGGGACTGAGCCCACAACCCGGGCCTGTGCCCTGACCGGGAATCGAACCGTGACCTCCTGGTTCACAGGTCGATGCTCAACCCCTGCGCCACGCCAGCCGGGAGGGAAGACTCCTCTCCTGCCTCTTCCTAGTTTCTGGTGGCTGCTGGCGTTCCTTGGCTCATAGCCGCGTCACTCCGGCCTCTGCCTCTGTCTTCCAGGGCCTTCTTCCCTCTGCGTGTCTCTGTCCTCTCCTCCCTAAATCCAGGCTGTCATCTCGGCATCCTCAACCCACCCTGTTCCCATGTCCGGTCACATTCTGAAGTTCCAGGTGGACAGGAATTTGGGGGGGACACCGTTTAATCCACGACACTGACCTTTGAAGATATTTATTTCCTTTGTACACAAACACCTTTTTTATAAAATTTATTTTTTCATTACAGTTTGCATTCCATGTTATTTTATATTAGTTTCAGGTGTACAGCAGTGGTTAGCTAATCGTGTACTTTGCAAAGTATTCACAAACACTCGTAAAGAGCATATTTGGGATCGTTGTGTTTATTTTCAGTGCATTTAAAAAATTTAGTGTCCAGTTGTTGAACGTTCACATCTACTTTTCCATGCTAAACTCTTTACAGACTTCCTGTTGGTCCGCCGTGTGGGGGACAGTGCAGCCTAGTGGTGAGGAGCGTGGCCTCCAGGGCTGGACTGCAGTGTTGCATCCGCTGGTCTCTTGCTCGCTGTTGTGGAATGAATTATGCTCCCCCTCCCCCGCTCCCCGATTCATATGTTGAAGTCCCAAGCTCAGGTACCTCAGAATGTGACTGTGTTTGGAGCGAGGGTCTCTAGAGAGAATTTAAGGTTAAATGAGGTCATTGGGGTGGGCTCCAAGCCAGGTCAACTGGTGTCCTTACAAGTAGAGATTAGGACACAGACGCACACAGGACACGGGGGGAAGACAGCCGTCTACAAGCCAGAGAGCGAGGACTCAGGGGAACCGACCTTGGACTTCCAGCCTCCAGAACTGAGAGGAAAGACATCCCTGTTGTTGAACACGATCCCCCCCTGCCCCCCGTCTGTGGGACCCCTCACGGCCGCAGAGCAGATGAGTACACCAGCCACTGGGCCCGGTTCCTCCCTCTGTGTCATCCGGGTTCTCACGGGGTTTGGTGAGATCACATGAGCATCGCATGCTGCCCGGTGCCCGGTTGGAAGGCGCTCTCGGCGCTCGGCACTACCCGATGCACTTCGCCAGCCTCTGTGCGTGTTGGACGGCTTCTGTTCGTTCGCCGGGTGGGTATTTATTGGGCCGCCCTCACGCCATTTGCCCTGGGATCAGTAAGGCTGGGGCCGCAGCTGGCTACACTTCCCTGGGAGAGACTGTTGGGGGCGTTCTCTCTCCTCTAAGCCGTCTTTGCGGAGCACCACCCTCAATGGACCGTGTGGTCGGAGCGCCCATGGCCATGTGCTCCGAGGCCAGTGCCAGGAGGGCCTGTGGCCGTGCCATTGAAGGCCCGTGCAGGGATACCAGGCAGCTCACAGCCTCAGAAAAGGCGGCCACTGGGAGTGACATCTCTTTTCCACGTCTGTCCGGCCTCAGGGCTGTCACTGCCACCCAGTGACTGCAGCGCCAGACCTACACCAGGAGGCAGGCCAGGGTCCTGGAGTGGAAGCCCAGCCTGTAGGACTCCCCGGGCATGCACACCTGCCCACGGTGGTGTGGCCGTTACGCTCTTGGTACAGAGCTCCCAGCCCCTGCCCTGGAGCTGGCTGAGGGAGCCTGGGTCTCGGGCTCTCCTGGAGGCAGAAAGCATCTGCCAGCCACGGAGCAGCGCCCGAGCCGCCCCCTCGCCCGCCCTCCCCGCCACCCCGGCTCTGGGTGCCTCCAGCCCCTGCCTTTTCTCTTCTCTTTGAAGTGTGAGCCTCAGAGCCACTACAGGCAAACAGGATGCTCCACTCCCACGCGCACAGACTTCAGACAGACGTGGGGTCGAACCGCATCCTGCAGGCAGTGTGGGGGGGGGGGGTCCCACCTGCCGCGGACCCGGTGTGGGAGGGGCGCAGGCTGGGTGCCGGCAGCGGCCTCGGGAGCTGGCTTCCTCAGTCCCTCTCGGAGCACCCGGTCCACACTTGGAACTCGGTGGGCATCTCAGAGTTCCCGTGGGGGCCCTCAGGCCTGCAGGGCCGGGCCAGGCCGGTGGTTGGGATGGTAACATCTGCTCGGCACGTTTGTGGGAGGCCACGGGTGATAACTCCTCCTCCCCCGTCTTACCCCTGGCTGCGATTTTCGTATTTTCTGGGAATTGTTATTTTAAATATATTTTTATTGATTTCAGAGAGGAAGGGAGGAGAGAGAGATAGAAACATCAATGATGAGAAAGAATCATTGATCGGCTGCCTCCCGCACGCCCCCTACTGGGGATCAAGCTCACAAACTGGGCATGTGCCCTTGACCAGAATCAAACCTGGGACCCTTCAGTTCCCAGACCAACCCTCTATACTGAGCCAAACTGGCTAGGCATTATTGTTGTTATTATTATTGGGGGGGGGGCATTATTATTTTTAATGAATACATTCTCTAAACCTCAGCAGTGGGTCTAGAATGACAAGATTGCTACACAACAGGTTTCTGGGAGGCGTGGCCTTTCGGAGCCGCTGGAGACATGGACAGGCGGGAAGGATGCTCAGGGAAGGGCAGGCAGGAGTTTGAGTCAAAAGAAACCCCAAAGTCCTAAATCTCTCTGGGTTGTTGGCTTTGCCGATAGCACGTGGTTCAGGTGGACCCCCTGTGGTTGGAGTGGGGGCGTGAAGGGGGGCATGAAGGTGCAAAGGCTGAAGGTTCCAGGTCTCCCATCCCCAGCAGACTCCATCGGACCTTTAATTTACAAAATAGCTCGGGTGCCTGGAGGGAAAGGGCAGATGTAAAAGACGTCAGGGTGTTAGCACCCGCCTGACAGCCCCGCCTGGCAGCGAGCGCCCTTCCAGACCTCCAGACCGCTGGCCCTTCCATCAGGCCCGTTGCTGAAGCCTCCCCTCGCGTCGGCTGTGCCCTGGCCCCTCTGCCCGGATTGAATGAGCCCCCTGTTGCTTCCTGGCATAACGAGGGGTTTGTTTGAGTTCTGAGATGCCAGGCTTCTGTGCCTCTGACGATGTTGGCCTCCTCTGGCCTGCACCCCAGCACCGTCTCTGCAGGAACAGTTCCTGTTTCTCCATCTCTAGTCCCTGTGTGTCATTTTTCCACATAAAGTGGAGCTTCTTAAAGGACCCCTCGCCACAAGGCTGAGTCAGTGCTGCGTGCACTAGACTTCCGTGGAAAACAGAGAGGGGCTTGTTCATGTGACCCCCCCCCCCCCAAGCTGTTCTGTTCCGCTGAGGTTATTTCCCGGCGACCAGAAACATCCAGCACAGGACCGGCTTCAGCTGCCCGTGTGTGCCTCGCACGGACCTGCGTTCCCTGGCGCGCGAGCGGCGTTTGATAAATATTTGCTCGGGTGAGTCATGGCCTGGCCCGCCTCAGCCTTCAGCCGTCTTTTCCCTTTCCCCTTAGATCTTCAACCTCATGAAGTACGACAGCTACAGCCGCTTCTTGAAGTCTGACTTGTTTTTAAAGCACAAGCGAACCGAGGAAGAGGAGGAGGAGCCGCCCGACACGCAGACGGCAGCGAAAAGAGCGTCGAGAACTTATAACACATGAGCCTCCCGCCCCCGCCGGCCCCCGCCCAGCGGTTGGCACTGGCAGCCCCCCGGCGCCAAGGGACTCACTCAGGACCATGCAGGGTTAAGAATCGCTTTGTTATCTGCAAGGACTGAAATGTACAAAACCCGTCCATGGGATACGTGTATTTTATTAGCTGCCTGACCAGTCAGTTTTGCATGATGGCTAATCTTACGTAGAGAACACACATGTTGCTTTGAAGTTTAAGTTCACAGACACACACGGGTGGAAGGAGCCCTTAAACACTGGACACTGAGCATTTTACAGTTTGATTAAACGTCACGCGAGGCCGCCAGGTGACACGTACAGCCACCTCTTACCTTTCAAGTCTTTGCCCTGCCTCTGCGGGAGGGGCCCTTCCTGTCCACAGGTTCACGGGAGTGGACCTCACAAACTCAGGCCATGGGGGGGGGCGTGCTGTCTGTTGGGCGCCTTGTGGGTTAAATACTTCTCTCGGGCCAGCTCAGCCCCTGCAGGTTGGGGGAGCTGTGTGTGAGCGTCATCAGGGGCTTTTTCTTGTGCAGGGTCTGTCCTGGTTTCGCCCACAGTCTGTGACATTTCATGCAACATAAATAGTTCATCCTGATACAAATACGATCTCGAGGAAGAAAGACGAATGGGAAGTCGCTCAGGCAATGGGGGGTGGCGCTGAGAGGTACCGTGCCGCCCGGCCTGTGCCAACGATGGAATGCGTGCACATTCCCTGTCTCCCGTAGCCCGTTGGGGACGCACCGCCCTCTTCCTCCTCTGCCCCCACCCTTTGCTGGACTCCAGGCTCCAGTCTTCAGCCAGGAGACAGAAATGCTGTCTCTGAAAGTCTTCTTTCGAGGGAAGCCCAGCTCGGCCCAGGCTGACCCCGCCAGCCCGGGTCTCGCCCCCTTTGGAGCTAAGCCCACGAGCCCAGGTCCCTTCCGCTAGTTGTCCCTGCCGCCCGCGCCTGCAGACCTTCTCCGGCGGGTTTGCTGAGCCTCACACTCCTGTGTGTGCAAACCGAGCAGGCAGACCCTGTTGCTGTGAGCCTTCCCACGTCCCATTCACTTGCAAATTGCCTGGTGCTGGGGGTGACTGTGTAACTTTCCAGTTAAACCAGGACGCTTCAGAGGGAAGGGGTGAGTTCAGTAATTACAGGGGGGCCATGGCGTGAGCTGGTTCTGTTCTGGGTGAGGCGGTTCGCAGTGACCCGACTGATGACCCTCCCGCAGGGTGACCTGTGGGACAGTCCCTGCGTGTCCAGCCTGGGGAAGGATGGCCTGGGGGCCATTCACTGCTGAGAACTCGGTCACCAGCTGAGCGTCCAGCAGGAACTGCCCGGCTGGACCCCCCACAGGGGGCTTCTCCTTAGGCCTCTCCACCTGAGAATGACCCCCAAGGGCCCTGGCATTCGAGAAATTCAGTCCTTCAAGAAGAGCAGATTGATGCATTTACAAAAAAAAACAAAACTACTTTCTAAGGAACGCTAAATTTCTTTTTTTTACAATTATTTCTATTGATTTTTAGGGAGAGGAAAGGACAGAGAGAGAAACATCGATGTTAAAGGTTGATCAGCTGCCCCCATGCACGCCGCCTACTGGGGACTGAGTCTGAAACCCCACATGTGCCCTGACCAGGAATCGAACCAGCAAGCTTTCCGTGCCTGGGACGATGCCCAACCAACTGAGCCACACTGGCCGGGGCAGATTGATGCATTTTATTATATATATTTTTATTGATTTCAGAGAGGAAGGGAGAGAGAGAGAAACATCAATGATGAGAGAGAATCACTGATTGGCTGCCTCCTGCAGGCCCCTCACTGGGGACTGAGCCCGAAACCCGGGCATGTGCCCTGACCTTGAATTGAACTGTGACCTCCTGGTTCATAGGTCGATGCTCAACCACTGAGCCACGCCGGCCGGGGCAGACGGATGCATTTTTAAGAATAAAGGTTCTCTAGTTCAACTTGGAGTTCACCAGCCAGGACGTGCACAGCTCCGGGCCCCCCGCTGCCAGTGCAGACAGAGGGTCATTTCGGGTCCGTGGAGCTGAGCGACCTGCCGGGTGCTGCCCGTGGAGAGCCTGTGCCCACAGGTGGGCTGGGGCCTCTTTCTGGCTTCACCCTTTCCCCACTGGGGTCAGAGACCCTTGGAGGTGGCGGTCCGGGTGGAGGACACAGTCCGCCCGCGACTGCCCCCCGAGAGCAGGGCCTCTCTCTTAGGGGCGGCCTGGGAAGCCCACTGCCAGCAGGAGGGGAGCCGCATCGTGTAACACAGCTGCCTCCTCCCAGCCTGCGCTCCGCCACGTCCCCGCCGGCTCCTGCCTGGCCGCCTCCCTGTGCGCCCATCAGACAGAGGCCGGCCCAGAACCCAGCTTCCTGAGGCCCCTGCAGCTGGGAGGCTGAAGCTAGGGACTCCGTGCAGCGGACACGTGCTCTCCCCAGTTTTCATGTTCCCCAGGCCGTCCACCGTCCCTTTATTGGTTAGAGTTAAACGCTGTCAGGTGCTGGGAGTCAAGGGCGAGTCAAGGGCAAGACAAGGGCGAGAACGGCCCTGATGCTTGATGCCCCCGCGCAGCCCACAGGTGATTCAAGTGGAGGTCTTACTAGTGGTCAGGCCCAGGGAGGCCAATGGATCCGGGCGCGACTGCCATTGGGAAGGGGGTTTGTTACAGTCCCAAGGGGAGGGGGCCACGCCGGCCTCGTGGGGAAGTACCAGGCCCCTCAGGAGGCAGAGGGAGCAGGCGGAAGGTGTGGGCAAGAGGCTTTGTTGTGGTTTCCACAGGAAGGCACACCGGCGAGCAGGCTGAGGATTGGTCGGCTCGAATAGTTTCCGTGGGCTCTGGGCACAGGGGCTGCCCCTAGTTGTCTGGCACCTGTTCCTGGGTCCATGGCCCCGGGTACCTGGCCCTGGTGACGAGGGCCTGAGAAGGGAGGCAGCTGGGAGCTGAGCCCTGCAGTGGCTGCTTTGTTTATGGAAGGTGTGCTCCAGCTGTGGACTGTCTCTAGGAATTGCTGGCCCCGGGAAGTGTGGTCCCTCCAGTGTCAGCGAGGCCCCAGGTGCCAGGGCATCAGGAAAATGAGACATGCCTGGTACAACAGTCCGAAGGGTCTCAAACTCTCCCCTGCAGGCCACGGGTGCCTTTGATGGGGCACGTGTTTTCAATCTTTCAATGCAGATGCCTCAGGCAGAGCATGAGTGTAATCTCCAGTTAGCCACAGGCCCCACCATTCCCTATTGCCTCATACCAGGCCACTGGCATATTTATGTTATCTGCTCGCTCCGTCCTGTGCACCCTGAGCTCCTGTTCCCATATATGAGAGCATGGCCTGGGTGACCTTGTCCTCTGTGGCTTTGCAGTCATTAATTACACCTCCCAGTCCACTCTGCTGACCTGCCTGGCTTGCTTTCTTTTTAATGTATTGATCTCAGAGAGGAAGGGAGAGGGAGAGAGAGATGGAAACATCAATGATGAGAGAGAATCATTGATTGGCTGCCTCCTGCAGGCCCCCCACTGGGAATCGAGCCCACAACCTAGGCCTGTGTCCTTGACCAGGATTGAACCTGGGACCCTTCAGTCCGCAGGCCAACGCTCTAGCCACTGAGCCAAACCAGCCAGGGCACCTACCAGGCTTTCTGAGTGCAAGTTGTGGTCTGCGTCCTCCGCACGGCCCTGCACCATCCCACCCCCCCCAATGGCAGGAGGCATGGTAGGGATCACCTCACCCACACAGAGCACCTTCCGAGTGCTTCGTTCCCATCACCTCACCCACACACAAAACCTCCGAAAGTACGAGGACAGTGATTTCTCCCACTTCAGACACCGGAAGACCAACACCAGTGACGTGACTCACACAGACACATGCTGGTGAGAGGCAGAGTCTGAGGCCAGATCCAAACTTCCTGTCCCCCCTCCCTTTTCCGCCCCTCCCTTGTCTAGACAGGGCCCCCCGGGAAGCCCGGGGCTAGGGTGAATAGGGAGTGGTCTTCTGGCAAAGGTACTCATTGGCTCACAAAACAGATATTTAATGGGCACCTACTACATCCCAGGCCAAATACTGAATACAGGACTGTGGGCCATGAAAGGAGGCAGAAACCTTGCTTCCCGGGAGCAGCTGGCTGGTCAGGAGGTGAGAGCCAGTCTTTACCAGAACTCTGCTCCCAGCAAGAGCGTGCGTGGCCCCCAGGAGGGGGCTGCTGGGACCGGGCTGGCCGGCTGGGATCACCTCTTAGGCCTTTCGTCTCTCCCCTGAGTATCAGGATGTTAAGCTTCATGGTGACCCTGGGGGGAAGTGATTTCTTTAAAAACAACAACACAAGAACGAGTGCTCTGTTCTGGTGGGGATAGCCTTTCACTCCAGTCTTCGTCAACTCCGGAGGATGGAGACTTTAGTGAAGTAGTTTCCCCCGATGGCTTGTGAACCAGGACATAGGTCCCTCCTGTGTGATAGAGCCGAGAGCCGACGAATCGGGATCCCACCCCCGGTCCCGCTCTGACGGTGGGAGCTCGCTTTGTTTACAGGCTTTGCAAACTGCAAGGCAAGCGCCGTCCTGACGGGCACCCTGTCCTGTTTACTCGCATCAGCTGTGGCTGTTCTAGAACTTGCATTTACTTAAGTGCTGAATGGTCTGGTGGAACCATTAGCTGCCAGGCTTCTTACGTCTGCATTTCTTCCCAAGGTTAGCTGCAGACAATGCCGTGAGCTCGCTGTAGCAGCGGTTCTCAACCTGTGGGTCGCGGCCCCTTTGGTGGTCGAATGACCCTTTCACAGGGCTCGCCTAAGACCATCCTGCATATCAGATATTTCCATGATGATTCATCACAGTAGCAACATGACAGTGATGAAGTAGCAACGGTAATAATTTTATGGTCGGGTCACAACATGAGGAACTGTATTTAAAGGGCCAGAAGGTTGAGAACCACTGCTGTATCGGGCTGGTGCCTGGGCAGGAGGGGGAGGGGTAGCCAACCTTGGGCAGAGCAGGTGGGCTCTCCTTGGATTCCCACAGGCACTGCAAGCTTTGCAAGTCCAGGTGGCTCACACAGAGACCTGGGGGTCCCTCTCTCCTCTGGGTGAGGGTCTGGTAGGCCGGGCCCTCTCTGAGCGCTTAGAACGCTGAGGGTGCTGCATGCACCTGGGAAGGATTCTTCTCCCATTTCCCACAAAGCCACGGGGCGGGGCGGCTGGAGGCGGCCCATGAGTCTCCCCTTTCCTGCACTCTAAGTCTGATCCACGAGTAAGTCCTCTAGATTCTTCTCCCAAATCCAGCTCGAACGCATCCCGCTTCCCCATTTCCACGGCCCTGTTCCCTGACCGGCTGCCTCCTTCATCTCTTCCCCGGATAGCGT